GGTCAATATCCAAAAAGTGTCATTTTTTTTAGGTTAGGTCAATTGAATTTTTTCATAAGTTCATTCCTATCTACAACATACCAGAAATTCAGTCATTTTCAGAGATATTTTTCTTGAAAAAATTCTATTTGGAGGTAAATATCGAGAAAACTGTCAATTTTTGGAGGTTAGGTCAATTGGATTTTTTAATCAGTTCATTTCTATCTACAACATGCCAAAAATTCAACCATTTTCAGATACATTTTTTTTTTCGAAAAAGTGACAGGCCAATATCGGAAAAACTGTCCATTTTTTGAGGTTAGTTCAATGGAATATCTGTTCAGTATATCAAAGTCTGCAACATACCAAAAATTCAGCGATTTCCATCGAGAGCCATTTTCCCTTTAGTTTAGTGCGGGGTCCTTACGAACCAGAAATGCTCGGTCAGCAAGGATTTTTGAAAAAATGCGAGAATAAACTAACCTTCTTAAGGGGTGGATCGAGATAATTCCACTGGTGGCATCTGAATATCAATATAAGATATTCAAATAAGTAATTTGATGGAAAATTGCAAACCAGAAATGCTCGGTCAGCAAGGATTTTTGAAAAACTGCGGGAATAAACTAACCTTCGTAAGTGGTGGATCGAGATAATTCCACTGGTGGCATCTGAATATCAATATAAGATATTCAAATAAGTGATTTGATGGGAAATTACGAACCAGAAATGCTCGGTCAGCAAGGATTTTTGAAAAACTGCGAGAATAAACTAACCCTCTCAAGGGGTGGATCGAGATAATTCCACTGGTGGCATCTGAATATCAATATAAGATATTCAAATAAGTAATTTGATGGAAAATTGCAAACCAGAAATGCTCGGTCAGCAAGGATTTTTGAAAAACTGCGGGAATAAACTAACCTTCGTAAGTGGTGGATCGAGATAATTCCACTGGTGGCATCTGAATATCAATATAAGATATTCAAATAAGTAATTTGATGGAAAATTACGAAATGCTCGGTCAGCAAGGATTTTTGAAAAACTGCGAGAATAAATAACTAACCCTCTTAAGGGGTGGATCGAGATAATTCCACTGGTGGCATCTGAATATCAATATAAGATATTCAAATAAGTAATTTGATGGAAAATTACGAAATGCTCGGTCAGCAAGGATTTTTGAAAAACTGCGAGAATAAATAACTAACCCTCTTAAGGGGTGGATCGAGATAATTCCACTGGTGGCATCTGAATATCAATATAAGATATTCAAATAAGTAATTTGATGGAAAATTACGAAATGCTCGGTCAGCAAGGATTTTTGAAAAACTGCGAGAATAAATAACTAACCCTCTTAAGGGGTGGATCGAGATAATTCCACTGGTGGCATCTGAATATCAATATAAGATATTCAAATAAGTAATTTGATGGAAAATTACGAAATGCTCGGTCAGCAAGGATTTTTGAAAAACTGCGAGAATAAATAACTAACCCTCTTAAGGGGTGGATCGAGATAATTCCACTGGTGGCATCTGAATATCAATATAAGATATTCAAATAAGTGATTTGATGGAAAATTACGAACCAGAAATGCTCGGTCAGCAAGGATTTTTTAAAAACTGCGAGAATAAATAACTAACCCTCTTAAGGGGTGGATCGAGATAATTCCACTGGTGGCATCTGAATATCAATGTGAGATATTCAAATAAGTAATTTGATGGAAAATTACGAACCAGAAATGCTCGGTCAGCAAGGATTTTTTAAAAACTGCGTTCGTGAAAATTAGGATATTCAAGATGGTGGATACAATATGGCGGGGTCCAGTTTTGTAATTATGAGGAGATGATGTTTCGTTCATGGAAATTAGGATATTCAAGATGGTGGATACAATATGGGCACGGTCGAGTTTTGTAATTAGGATCTGATTGTATTCAAAATTGGTATCTAGGGGTTTCCAGGGTAGGAGTTTATGTTTCGTTCGTGAAAATTAGGATATTTAAGATGGCGGATACAATATAGCGGACGAGTTTTGTAATAATTATGATCCAATTCTATTCTAAATTGGTATCTGGGGGTTTTAGGGATCAAAGATTATGATATTCTTTCGTCAAAATTTGGAAATTCAAGATGGCGGAACCAATATAGCGAACGAGTATTGTAATTATGAGCCCATTCTATTCAAAATTTGTATCTGGGAGAATTCGGGGCAGGAGATTATGTTTGTTTGTCGAAATTTAGAAATTTAAGATGGCGGAACCAATAAGACGGACGAGTTTTGTAATTATGATCCGATTATATTCTAAAATTGGTATCTGGGGATTTTCAGGGTCGGAGATGGTGATTTCTTCGTGAAAATTAAGTTAATCAAGATGGTGGATCCAATATAGCGGACGAGTTTTGTGATTATGAACCGGCTCTATTTTAAAATTGGTATCTGGGAGTTTTCGGGGTCGGATATTATGATTCCTTCGTGAAAATCAGTGAATTCAAGACAGGGGATTCAATATGGCGGACGAGTTTTGTAATTATGATCCGATGCTATTCAAAATTTGTTTCTGAGGATTCTCGGGGTCAGAGATTGTGATTGCATGTCAACATTGGGAAATTCAAAATGTGTACGAGTTTTGTGATGGGCTTGTATCACAAAAAAAATTATTTCATAATTCGATAGAACTCACCCAAACTAGCTCACCACCGCAAACCGTTTCATGCTGTGAGCTCCCTACGTTTTATAAAAAATTATTGAAATCCCCGATTTTTCGGACCTCTGGAAACGAGGCGATGATGTGACGTCAAAACCCTAATACTGAAACAAGACTATTCCAGACAGAGATGAATGATACATGATTTCTGACAGAGTGAATTAGCGCGAGATCACAGTTGAAAGAATTAATATATCAGTTGCCTCAGTCTCCGTCGGGCTTTTGGTATTTTCTTTTAACTATGGCGAGATGAGATTTCTACGTCATAAGAGGGTCCGTTTTCAGAAGGTACTATTATTTATGTCCAAACATAAAACATTCCAGTTAATTTTTCGATCGAATTATGTCGTCAATCATTATTTATGTATAAAAGGATCATTATAAACATGGTTTGAGTTAAAAGTTCAACTGAGGTGTACACGCCCATTATGATCCGATTCTATTCATAGTCTAATAGCGCGACGATACATTTCACTAGCTACTTAGTCCCCAAAGACTGCCACCGCACTTTTTTCATTGCAAAATCGGAAAGTTAGTTTTTCGACTTGCCGCGTCCATATTCCGCAAAACACAATGAAGGAGGGAAACAGTAGAACGAAGCAAAAAGGATTCATCTCTCCCGGTCGAGCCGTAAAGAAAGCAATAAAACGGAAAATCCCCTTCACCTCCAGGGCCATAGTTTTCTCAACCCAATTCATAGTGACAACGTGATTTAGTGGCAACGAGAAGTGGCGTATTTCGCGCCATGAAAATAGGAATTCGATCGATAGCTAACTGTAGGTAGAAAGAGATTGGTATAGAAGCATCACGAATTCAATTGTGAATGACAAGCATACATTTTTCTGCAACCGACACAAAAACCGTCCAATTCAATTCCAAAATTAGCACTTGAATTGACGTTTCTATTACTGACTAAAACATATGGTACCTTGCTAGGCAACACATTCAGTTCCTAGGAGCTGAAGTTCAACTTTAGCTCCTAGGAACTAAAGTTGAACTTTAGCTACTAGGAACAAAAGTTGAACTTTAGCTCCTAGGAACAAAAAATGATGTACTAGAGGTTATATGGGTTGAGATGCATACCTGATTTTTTTCCGATTTTGGCAGATTTGGCATTTCATACCCATGCTGGTGATATAAATACATCATATTATAGTTAAGTATTTTTGTTTTGATCAGGAAATCCTTCAAGATTCACATACTTGCTTGATCTGTATTTCATTGGTTATTCTCGAGATGATGGATAACTTGTTTTCGAATAGAACGATATTGTTTACCTTCACTCGTTATCAAGCCAAACACAGTGGAGTATGGAGACAATTAAATAATCGCTTTTATTATTGTTGATATGCTCACTAACCTAACATTTTCCACGTCTTTTGCCAATACCTGGCACTGGCGCGGTATTTGCTATTAGACCACCTGGTCCATACGAAAATTTGTCACTGTGGTTGTATTTATATGGAAACTACAAATCTGTTTATACAGGTAGAATATTCTCACCACACCGATTATTTGTTGCATTGCATACAAATAATATGGCACAGCATTGGTGGTGACTTCACATGTTTATTCGAGTTAATTCTTTCGGTTGCAGAAAAAATAGCATCTTCCATTCGGATCAAAAGTGACTTTGTTTGACTCGCAAATTTTTCATTTGCGAGGCAGAGCGTCTAGCGTCAAATAAAGTGTCACCTTTGATCCTAGTAAAACAATCTACAACTATTTTTCTATAGACTATTCCACTCTTGTTCCCGAGATCCAATCAGAATCAACCATTTTCACGATTGCTCCTGTATTACAGCGATATTTTTTGTTCACTAAAGATTATCGGACTTCCTCTACCAATACATAAGCCGATTCGACTCACACGTTACCAACCAACATCGTTTTACAGCGATGAAATTTTTGAAATTTGAAACGTCGATTATGTTGGAAGCCAGAATGATGGATGCAGGGTGCGCAACTCTCGTGAGGCGCTCGTTTATTTTCTCAATCATGGAATAATCATACGAATACAACTCGTATTACTATTTTCCCGGAAATATTCGTCGATTAACATACTCCAGCTTGCTGCTTTAATTTCCCTCATGAAATTTTTCCGAAACTATTCGCCTACGGCTCGAAAGTGGTGATAAACAATGTCATTCGCAAAATTATTACGCAGGAAGCTGACGTAACAATCGCCGAATATTTCCGGTAAAATATAGTATCACTTGGGGTATTACATATGACCTAAAACATTAAGAAACCTCAATACAATCGAATCAATCATAGAACTTTCTACGTATAACTTATTAATTAATCATTCTTTTTTCTTTCCAGTTGAAATTGCAAGAGGCGATGAGAAAACGAGAAAAATTCACAAAGGAACACGAAGACGTAAGTGATAAAATAATCTCAGTTCATTTCAGCATTTTTTTTCACCAGATTGAAAATCAGTAATCACAGTATGTACCAGGTGATTCACCATTAATGTACCACCTCTCTTGCTCAGTTATTTTCAAAACAATTTCAAAATTTGAAAAATCATCTGTACAGCAATGCACTGATGAGAGCCCACAGCTCGAAACGGATTTGCAGGTAGTCACGCGTTCCTGAACCACTTAGGCGCAGCTCAGCGTTTAGGAAGAAATCACAAAACAGTTCTATTCGTCTATACGAATTATTGCATAGATTTCGGGAGGATGTAGTTCAATGTTTTGCGTGGCGTATAGCCAGGAAAGTAGTTGTTTTTCTCTCGTTATCTACCATTCTCCAACTATTTTGGTAACGACTGGGACACCTTGTATAACAGAAAATCGGCTATATCTTCGTAGTCCTTTGACATAACCCCATCATACCAGCGCGGTATTATTGGATTCATTATTGAAATCTCTGATTGTGGAATGAAATACAGTTGAAAAAATCAACTAGTCACCTGTTGATCGTTTGTTCCTAGCACCCTGTATTCACTGATTCAGCGGAAAAATCATTTTGGAAAGTAATTTCGAATGCTTTTTCAAATTTCGAATGCTTTTTCAAATTTCGAAATCGGTTCAAAGATAACTGAACCAGAGTGATGGAAATTCATGGTGAATCACCCTCGGTACTTAACTATTGAGGAATATTTGATTCCACGGCATCTTTCAATCAGTTGTTTTACTACTGTTGAGATTGTTTGAAATCGGTTCAAATATAACTGAACTACAGTGATGGACATGCATGGTGAATCACCCTCGATCTGTACTCAAGTATATGGAATATTTGATCGAAGAATATTTGTTTCTTCGGCATCTTGCAATCAGTTATGTTACTATATTGTTGAAATTGTTTGAAATCGGTTCAAATATAACTGAACTACAGTGATGGACATGGATAGTGAATCACTCTCTGTACTCAACTATTGAGGAATATTTGATTCCACGACATCTTTCAATCATCAGTTGTTTTACTACTGTTGAGATTGTTTGAAATCGGTTCAAATATAACTGAACTACAGTGATGGACATGCATGGTGAATCACCCTCTGTACTCAAGTATATGGAATATTTGTTTCCTCGGCATCTTGCAATCAGTTATGTTACTATATTGTTGAAATTGTTTGAAATCGGTTCAAATATAACTGAACTACAGTGATGGACATGCATGGTGAATCACCCTCCGTACTCAAGTATATGGAATATTTGTTTCCTCGGCATCTTGCAATCAGTTATGTTACTATATTGTTGAAATTGTTTGAAATCGGTTCAAATATAACTGAACTACAGTGATGGACATGCATGGTGAATCGCCCTCTGTACTCAAGTATATGGAATATTTGTTTCCTCGGCATCTTGCAATCAGTTATGTTACTATATTGTTGAAATTGTTTGAAATCGGTTCAAATATAACTGAACTACAGTGATGGACATGCATGGTGAATCACCCTCTGTACTCAAGTATATTATGGAATATTTGTTTCCTCGGCATCTTGCAATCAGTTATGTTACTATATTGTTGAAATTGTTTGAAATCGGTTCAAATATAACTGAACTACAGTGATGGAAATGGATAGTGAATCACTCTCAGTACTCAACTATTGAGGAATATTTGATTCCACGGCATCTTTCAATCAGTTGTTTTACTACTGTTGAGATTGTTTGAAATCGGTTCAAATATAACTGAACTACAGTGATGGACATGCATGGTGAATCACCCTCTGTACTCAAGTATATTATGGAATATTTGTTTCCTCGGCATCTTGCAATCAGTTATGTTACTATATTGTTGAAATTGTTTGAAATCGGTTCAAATATAACTGAACTACAGTGATGGACATGGATAGTGAATCACTCTCTGTACTCAACTATTGAGGAATATTTGATTCCACGACATCTTTCAATCAGTTGTTTTACTACTGTTGAGATTGTTTGAAATCGGTTCAAATATAACTGAACTACAGTGATGGACATGCATAGTTAATCACCCTCTGTACTCAACTATTGAGGAATATTTGATTCCACGACATCTTTCAATCAGTTGTTTTACTACTGTTGAGATTGTTTGAAATCGGTTCAAATATAACTGAACTACAGTGATGGACATGCATGGTGAATCACCCTCTGTACTCAAGTATATGGAATATTTGTTTCCTCGGCATCTTGCAATCAGTTATGTTACTATATTGTTGAAATTGTTTGAAATCGGTTCAAATATAACTGAACTACAGTGATGGAAATGGATAGTGAATCACTCTCAGTACTCAACTATTGAGGAATATTTGATTCCACGGCAAATCGGTTCAAATATAACTGAACTACAGTGATGGACATGCATAGTGAATCACCCTCTGTACTTTGATTCCACGACATCTTTCAATCAGTTGTTTTACTATTGTTGAAATTGTTTGAAATCGGTTCAAAACTAACTGAACGATAGTGATGGACAATTTTATGGTGAATCACCCTCTGTACTTAAGTATTGAGGAATATTTTTTGATTCCTCGACATCTTCCAATCAGTTGTTTTACTATTGTTCATTCCTCTCCATTATCGTTAAAGAATGAACTGTGAAATCGAAAGAAATCTTGTAACATTTTTTGGAGTTGTATCTGTAACACTGTATCAGGAAAGCCGATTTTGATCTTTCAGGGGTGATATTTTTCACATATCACTGTCCATAAAAAAGCCATCGTATGGTCACATATAAATGGCTTCAAACATGCGTTTCCCACTTTTACTGCAAATTGACTGTTAGGATTCGATTCCATGAAATGCCATAACGTTCGATTTTATTTTTCATTTTATCGCATGGAAGTTTATATGGACAATACAATGTCGTGAATAAATTTTTATCAACGAGGAAAACGGTCGATTATTTCAAAGACAGAATAACTTTTAGCAGCATAAATTTGAAACATTTCTAATACCGGGATGATTTTCTATGGTGTCTCAGCCCTATAACTTGATTCTTATTGAAGGTAGTGGAACGAAATTTGGGGGTTGTGGATTATATTCCAATTGACATTTTTGTATATATCTACTTGTTCTGCCTTACTTCCGGTTTGAACGTAAATTACCGTAAATGACCGTATCATAAAATGTTTCTGAATCTCTTATCATCCAATTTTTAGCTTTATTCGATTGTAATTTTATTATAGAATAATCTCGATCATTTGTTTCAGATTCTGAGGGACATCAAACAGGGTTTATTACAGTTAGGAAAAGAAGGAATTCGAGGACCGTTATCTGGAGGTAATTAATATACTCTGTGTCCAAGATAATTATGTCTAGCATGGGGATTTCGAAAATGGTTTCTACGAAGCCAAAATCGTCATAAGGAAATTATATCTCAACGCTGTTTTGTAGAGCTTGAAAAGTTATAATATCACGGAAGCTTCAATTATTTCCGGAAATTTTTTTGAGAACACGAATTTTCTAAATATTCGTGTTCGAGAGAAAATTCCCGGATATTAATTGAAGCTAAAGTGGTATTCGGTAAAAAAATTCCACACTGAAATATTATAAAAAAATTACTTGGAAAAGGAATTTCAACAAGACTAAGATGATTTAGTTGAAAATGATGGTTGGTTGTGATGAAATGTAAGAACTAACGTATGGTAACAACATGATTGTGTTTTTGTAAATTTCGAATCTGCAAGTATACCTATATAATATTATATGGTAAACAGTTGATAAATGATTTTGATTTATTGACTTGAAGCAAAACTCGTTTTTTTAAGCATATCTCTGGAACCACTCGAAATTTTAGAACTTTCTGGACGGCATATTGTTCGACTTGAAAATATGGTGTAGTAAGGTATGTTGAAAATAAGGATAATAAGAAATATTCAAAAACAATGACAGTTATGAACTGGAATGATTAGAACGATGCATCAAAACGATGAGAAAGAGAGAATGAGAATGAATGATATGAATGATATAGCAACGATGATATCTTTGAAAACAATCATAGCGTCATCGTGATTGACAAAAATGATGAGATATACAAATAAAGGTAAAACTGCATTTATCATGCGATGTTTTTTTTTCGAAAATGTTTTTGGTACTTACGTATTTTTGTCTGGAAAACACGAATTTGATAATGAAAATGTGAACAAACCATTATTTATTAAGATATTTGACTATAAAGTTACAAATTTCACCTTCTTTTTCGCCTGTCTTCTGGATGGCATTTAAAACAATTTCCCTTCTTTCTTCATCATATTGGACACTTTATATATAACAATGTATGACACATTTTTTTCTATTATATAATTCAACTATAAATATGATTGTCTCGAGATTTATCCATATTTAGTGAAAAGAAGGAAGGATATTATTTAAAATAATGGCGTGTGTAATGTCATTCCAAAGCAATCTATTGACATTTGACATCTCGTATTTGGATTGACTATTGATTAAATGGCCGTCATCTGGAATGATTAAATTATATTTCCTGTTTGATTTTCCATATAAAAATGTGTCATTGGAGTACATCATGACCCTAATAACATACTTATGTCCCATGGATATCCTTAGGACGTCCAGTCGGGACATTCAGGACGTCCATAGGACGTTCGAATTTGATACCGTGGACGTCCATTAGACCAACTCGATGACCAACTAGGGACGTCCTTGAGGGATGTCCCTGGGACAACTATCGAATACCTAAATTGGATGTCCCAGGGACGTACGAATTATTCTCGAATTTGCATTTTTCTGGGTCCCTCTATGACCAGATCTTGCATAACTGTTTAGAACATCCAGTTGAGTTGATGGTCCGTAGAAGGTCCCCAAAAAGTTTCCCAAGGATGTCCAATGGACTTACGTGAAGGACATTGACGAGGAGTACTTATAGCCAACGAGCAATCATTCGTCGGCGAGGTGTAAGTTAACGTCCTCGCAGGGACAACATATTGAAAGTACCGACTGGGACGTCCATAGGACGTTATTTCTAGGACATTGGAAGAGTACAGTAGATGTACCAATTGGGACATCCGACGGATATCCCTAAGGGACATTCGAAGGATGTCCCTAAGGGACATTTCGATTTTTATACGATCCTGGAAATATTAAGGGCGTCTGTGCAGAGATATTTGTAGAAATGTACCATCAGGGACATTTCAGGGTTGTCTAGAAACGACATTATATAAGATCTGAAGTCATGCCAGAATATGTACTACTCGGGACATCCGACGAATGTCCCTAAAGGAACGTTTAAAGTCATATCCCATCAGGGACATCCCAATGACGTCCTTGCATGGACATTCTTCAATATGTACCACGTGGGACGTCTAAGGTATGCTATTTAAAGGACATTTGAAATGATGTACCAGCTGGAACATTCCGTGGACGTCCTTGCTCGGACATTGCATGAGATGTACGGGATGGGACGTCCCAAGGACACTTATTTTTGGTTCGGGACATTCGGACGTGAATTGTACCAAATAGGGACGTCCCTAGGATGTTGTGTGCTATTAGGGGAGTATATAAAGTCTCCAATGACAAAATAAGGAGAGCAAGCAGCTTTAAATGCCCCCAACACAAGGGGAGAAAGAAGGCAAAATTTCGAACTTTTCCTTGAAATATCTCGATAAATAGTGGTTTGTTCACATTTTCATGATCAAATTCGTGTTTTTCAGACAAAAATACGTAAGTAGGTACCAAAAACAAATTTTCGAAAAAAAAACCATCGCATGATAAGTGCAAAATCACCAATGTGAATACTGATGAAGCTGAAAAGATATACGAATTTTTTTCCAGACGACACCTACATGTACGATGAGGACGCGTGCATGCTTGCGCCCCCCGCCCACGCCCATGCCCACGCCCATTCCCGCCCCGCCCACTGGTACGACGAACCGCCCTATGAAAGTGATCCGGAGGATTTTCTCATGGGGGGTATGTTGAGTTATCGTTTTTCTAATTTTTACATGTACCTTGACACTTTTCAGATTGGACGGGAGTTTTGAAACGCCTTAGGGCCTCTTTATGCATCAATAAAAAAAATTTTTTAATGATAATTGATTGCAATATTTTCCTTTTTCCTATATGAATATTTTTATTTAATCACGTTTATCCTTAAATAAAAGCAACAAACGAGGAAATATTTCAAATAATGCGAGCGCTTCCCATTAGCGAACATTAGTCCAGTCATTATATCCAAATAACGGACCTTTCCCGTGAATAAAGTTGAGAATAAACGAGATATTGAAAATATTTAGAATTTGTCGCTTTTTTCAGGTTTAATTTACAAAGTATCGATCCTATCAGAAAAATTGCGAGGACCAAACTTGTAGAGAACCAAATTTACTACAATTTTTGTCCCCAAACTTTTTCTGTAGAATCAAAAATGGCCGAGTTATTCAAGAAAAACCGTTTTTTAACAAAAAAAACAGTGTTCGAACATACGCAAAAGCTTGATTTGGTCGCCATTTTGAATTTACACTCCCAGTGACCCCCCCGAGACACCTATGAAAAAAAAAACCACTACAAAATTATTCACGGGTCAAAGTTCATTGCATTGGACACAGGAAACAGATGACGCCACATACCCTCCCTTCGTAATTTCATTACAGGGCGATTTTGGCGATTTTCGCTGAATGAACAGCCATATATATCCCGTCAGATGGTCTACATATTTAGCCGTTATTAAGATAGGGATCGTAAAAACTTACTAGATGTCCATAAATTGTACTAGAAAAGTAAAATAATTGTACTGAAATCGTCATCAAGATTCGCGAGATTCACGAAGTGGGCGACATCTAGGTTACATAATACGAACTTCAAACTGGGGGAAAACAAACTGTTGTCTATGGATAAAGTGCATAGACTACATTGCATTCAGCTTGCTGTAGCTGTAGTCAAACTTGTCAATGACATAACGTGTTGGCACTGTTGGTAGTGATGATGGTTGAGTTGGTTAATTTTTTTACATTATTACATTTTTATTAGTTTAGTGAACAGTGCACGGGTGAAGAATTGGAGATAGTTCAAACAAGTCAAACTAATTATGACTAGCAAATCAATTGACATATAAAAGAAGAGCTACAACATGTTTACAATACGCAGATTTGTCCTGCATTGCATGAACAAATACAAATTCATTGTTCTACAGGAGTTCCTCTGGACCCCAACTTCAATTTTACTTCATGTGGGGAAGATTACATCGCCGAAGTTTGTAGACAAAGTACAAAAATGTGCCTTTTGTTGAAGTCTTCTGCCTCACACAAAATCACATGATTAGCATGGAGAACTGCTTCTCCTTCCACTACTGGTCGGCTTTTTCCGTCCAAATAGAGCAAAATATCTGCCAAAAGTACATCTACAACAGGCATTATTAGCGTTTTCGATCGAATATTGACAATTAATGTCAACAAATTTTTAAAACTTATAACTATTATCATTACACAGTATACAAGCTGATGGTACTGATGGGATTGAGTGAGGATTGAGTTTGTTTTCCCCCAGTTTTGACGTGGGTTTGACATGGAACGATGAAAACCGAGCGCCACCTGGTAACATTCATTCCCGCGAATAGAGATCGTGAAAACGTACTAGATGTCCATAAATTGTACTAGAAAAGTACGATAATCGTACTGAAATCGGAAACTTTGTCATCTCAACAGGTAACGGCAACGGGGATGGCGGTCCGACGGCGACCTACCGCAACGGCAGGGTGTGTTTCACCCTCAACCTGCGCCAGGAGCAGCGCGGCGAGGGGGTGATCTCCTTGAGGAGCGCGGGGGACATAACGGTGCCGAGAGACGCGGGGGGAATGGAGGGGACCACGAGGAGGGGGCTGATTCTGCCCTCGCAGGCGGGGTATCCTCCCGCTATCATACCTCTGAGGTGAGCATAGAATGGAATAGAATACAGTGTGTCCATTTAGTGCGTAATTCTTCGATATCTCGAAAGCCATGACCTATAGAGGAAAAACTTTGGAGAAAAAACTTTTTCAGTTACTAAAGTTGCTCATTTCAAAATTATTTTCAACATCACTGGGTGTTTTATAAAAGCAGGCAACTCGAAGAAGAGTTTTTTCAAATGGAACACCCAGTATTGTTCATTCGGAATTAGTTCCGCCGATGTTCACCTTCACGACATCGCTGTAAAAAAAATTGAAATCGGTTGCTGCGTTGCCCAGTTATCATTGATGAATCTATTTTTACCATTATTGAAGAGTCATAATTATGTTGAATTGGGCATGGTATATTCATTTATTCAAATTTTGAAAATATTTTTAGCATACGGTAGAAGCAAGGTCCAACGTATACCAATCCAGTAACTTTGCGACATTTTCTTCAACAGGGTGCTCAATCTTGCATTTAGAATTTTGCAAGATTCAGATGACATTCATCGGAATTTTTATTCAAAAATTCATTCCGACATCTTTCGCCTTTTTATCGCTGGAAAGAAAAAATCGGAATCGGTTGCGGCGTTGTCAAGTTATGGTTGATTTCCTTATTTTTACTACTATTTCGGGGTAATTTGTACGTCATAGTTCTTTCATTTATTTGTATTGTGGAAATATTGCGTTGCTACGGTATAATCAAATTTGTTCATTGACCATTCATATATTTTTTACGAAAGGAACATTAACAGGCTCTCCAAGTTTGAATTTTTTTCGAAATATTTGTGTAATGACCTGTCAAACATCGCCCCAATCAAATATATCTTGGATTGATTCGACATTTTGCTGAATTCCCTCCCAAAAGTCGCGTAGTAGAGACATATTGTTCGTATCATTATGTTTACCTCCTTCAAAAGTTAAATGGAGATTTGGATTGTGGGAATAATGACAATAAAAATGGCCCAAATTTCAAAAAATTGTCCTAATTCTCGAAATCCGCATCATCATTGTTAGTATTGTAGAAGTTATTTCAAAGACAGGCGTTACTTTTGGCATGTTCGTTTGTTTCACATATTATTTGAATCATAAGTAACAAGATTACGGAATATTTCAAATTTGGACGATGCACATATCACAAAAATACCTGAATGATATACAGGGTGTCCGCTAAAAGGAGGTCAATCCATTAACCATATATTCCTCGAACAAAAATAATATGAGTTTCTAAATACCATTTTTCATTTTAGCCCTTCTTATTCGATATACAGGGTGTCAAAGTTGAAAATAAAAAACTGTTTTTTTTTTAATTACTCGCGTAATTAATAAGATATTAATCTCAAAATAGATACATTACTTCAGCACAAAGAGTTACATCGTGTGAGGAAAACAAAACAGAAAATAACTGTCAAATATTCAAAATACTGGGGGTCAAGTACACACTCACCCCCATATTTTTTTTGTACGTGCGCTAATGACTTCCTATCTATTTTTCTTCATGTGTTCAATCATTTTTGAGTATTTTTTGATTTTTGTAAAATTCCGATAAAATTATTTGTTTTTAAGATAATTCGAAAAGTACTGGTTATTGTTTGATGCCTTGCGGCTTACGGTAATCTCATAATGATCACATACTCCTATTAATTTCGTCGAAATTGGAAGAGGGCGTATCTTATTACGTACGGAAAGGTGAATATGGAAATACCGGGTGCTCAGAGCGAATGTATTAAAATAATTTTTACACTTTTTAAATTTTTTTTTTTTCGCTACGCTCGGCTATGAATTCAGCCACGGCAGTCAATCTACTACTTTGCTGCCTAGTTAAACAAATAACTATTCTCTTGAAAAATATATGTCTGCAGTTCTGCAAAAGTGGGTGCTATGCATCTGAATATGAAGAAAATGAACATCTTTATGGACACTCTGTATCATATATAAGTATCTACAAATTTCATAAGAATGAATAATGATAAGTTCACTTTTGTTCTGGACAAAATAAACTAACGATTTTGCTTTCTCTCGGCTTCGCTTGACGCTCCGCCTCGCAAAAGCAAGTTTCGCTTGTCAAACAAAATGTCACTTTTGATCCTAACAAAACAATCCACTAATTTTTCTCAGGTCTTCTCGAGACAGAGACAGAGAGAGCGGCGACTACGCCGGCTCCGACGTCCAGAGCATCGGGTCGCGGCTCTCCGGCTTGTCGGTGGACACGAGCCGTTCCGATCCCAATCACCCCCACCACCGCTTGGTCTCGCCTCCCCAATACTACGCGCAGACGCACGAAGGCCAGATGCGGCATTTCCATCGCAAGGGAGGCGGTGGGGGGTGTTCGATGAGCGAGGGGGGATTGTCGCCGGGACAGAGCTCGGACTACGAGGACCAGGAGGAGTTTAGCAATTGCAGCCAACAGATCGCCACCGTGCACGTGGTGAGTACCCAGCCAATACCTCTGTCACATGACATCTCTGAGATGTCGCGTTTAGGTAACAGCGCGATATCACGAACGTTCCATCGCTGCGATGTACAGTGGCATACATATCTGTGAGATGTCGCGATGAGGCAACACTGAGATATTAGGAATGTTCCATCGCTGCAATGTACAGAAGCAAATACATCTGTAATATGACATCTCTGAGATGTCGCGTTTAGGAAACAGTGCGATATCACGAACGTTCCATCGCTGGGATTTACAGAGGCAAACACATCTATGACATGACATCGCTGAGAAGTCTCGATGAGGTAACTCTGCGATATTACGAATGTTCCATCGCTGCGATATACAGAATAAGCGAACACATCTGCGACATATGACATCTCAATCTGAGATATCGCGTTGAGGCAGCACTGCGATGTCACGAATGTGCTACTCTGCGATGTACAGGAGCAAACACATCTGTGACATTACATCGCACTGAGAAGTCGCATTTAGGTGTCCCTCAAGGATCTGTTTTAGGACCAATTTTATATTTATTATATATTCAAAATATCACGAAAATTGATACAGAATGTATAATTACACTATTTATGCAGACGATACGGTACTTTTGTATGAAAATAAGAATCCTATCATTTTAGAAAATATAATGAACAGAGACTTGATGAAATTTGAAAAATGCCTGCATTGGAACCTTTTATCAATAAATACTGATAAAACTGAATATATGATTTTTCAACAAAAAAATAAACAAAATATAAATTTAAATCTCAGAATTAAAAATGACTCTTTGAAACAAACGAATGAGAAGAAGTATATTGGGATTTGGTTTGATGATAAATTAAAGTGGGACAAACATATAAATGTTTTGACGAAAAAAATATCTCCTATTATTAGAGCCCTGAGAAGATGTCCCAAGCTGAATAAAAAAGTTGCAAATATAATTCTATATTCTCATATACTCAGTCGTATTAACTACCTATTTGATAAATGTTTGGAGATACTGTTCAAAAAACAATTTCAATAAAATATCTGCATTATATAAAAAGACATTGAAAGTACTGTATCGTTTACCATATGATACACCAACAAATCAATTATATAAAATAACTGAATCATTCTCATTAGAAGAAATGTTCAAAATCGAAAGATTGAGAATTACATACAATATCATAAATAAAAGTTTGAAATCTAATTTATTTTAACACGAAACAATGAAATTCATAATTATCAAACTAGACAACATGGTTTATTTCATCTTGATATCGCTAATACTTCTATAGGCCAACAAAGATTCACCAACGCTGCTCTCTTAGAATATAACAAATTACCAGATAATATAAAAAATTGCAGAAATACAATAAAATTCAAATACCATCTTAAAAAATTCATCATTTCTGAACGAAATAGATGACTTTTTTTTTTCAACTCTTGATTCATATTCAAATTGATTTTTGCTCACCAATATGAAATGATTTGTCAAAATTTAATAATTAATGTTTTCAAATATTTTATTATTTATGAGTTTATTATAGGTATTATTGTTAACTATACTTCCTTATAATACCAGAACTTGATTCTGACTGGAAGTAACATTTTCAATAAATAAATAAATAAAATAAATAAATAATATCACGAACGTTCCTTCGCCGCGATGTATAGAGGCAAACACATCTGTGACATTACATTGCTGAGAAGTGCCTAAATATTTCGAACCATTCCCATCACGTAGACTTTGTGTTTTTTGATGATTATTTTTCGTAATAAAATTATTGTGGATGCTGAGTTGGTACAGGGATTGGGTGGCTCAAATTGTAATACACTGTATACGAGCGATTCTTCAAAAAATAAACGTGAAATCAAATATTCAGTCTGTCTCTTTTTAAATGGTGAACCTTGAATACTCACCTCAGGAGAAAAAGCATTATTTTGTCCCCTTTATGAGATATGTATGTACACTCGTCTTCAGAAAACATGTCACGGTTGGACGGTGTAAGCGCTCTAAATCACCGCTGCAATACGAGCGATCACACCATCCACCTGCGACATGTTTTCTGAAGACGAGTGTACCTGAATAGCTATTTTATCGTACTCTCACGGATTATTTTCAGTCGAGCGAATCGCGGTCTGCCGGCGTATCGGGAATAGTCGGCAAAGTCCGTGGCCTCAGAGAAGACGTCCAAAGGAAAATCTCGAGACTGAAGGGCGACAATGAGCAAGTTTTCCAGTGCTCTGCCAGTTCGGTGGAAAGTCTGCCCAGCGGGTCTGGATCTAGTGAGTTTATCGATAAATATACGTTAATCCGTCGACTTCGTATTAATCTGTTTGATTAAAGTACGACACGAAATTCATGGTTAATTACCCCTATTAACGATCAATATAGACCTTGTCGTTAAGATGACAAATGACTATCTCTGTTTACATCTCGCATCCAACGACAATGGCGGTCATTTTGACCGATACACTTTCACCACACTCCTCAGTAACCAATCAGTAATGATTTTTCTAATTTAATTATTATGATACAATTAATACACACCAGGAATGTAGAAACCAACATACTATGGATATGTTCCGATAATCAACCGACAGTGGTGACTACGGCTGTGGTTGATTTACGGAATGCCAGTCATTTGTCGAATTATAGTTCTGATAGTTTATTCTCAAACATTCATGTTCTAGTATTTGATTTTCAATTAGGTCACCCAAAAGTCCCTAATTCTTGTGCACAGTAAGCACAAGCAAAGGATGTAGTGTCCTAAAATTGAAAAATATGTCATCGAACTGATAATGTATCGCATATTATCAATTTACCTCTGTAAACGAATCGAATTGGAACTTACGCAATTACTAAAATGAGAAAAAATTTCCGTTGTAATTCGTGAATCGAATAATCAAACCTTCGGGGACCGGTCAGTTGGACCACGAGTACCTGTATTAATCCTTTTTTGAAAAAGGTCGAGTTAAGCCTACCCTGCAGTTCGACCATACCCGAAGGATGCACTGTGGCCAAACACAATGTGCGTTAGTCCCACAATGTCTAGTACACGCGTCTAGCTATAGAATTTCCTCTATGGCTTCCTGAATTCCGGATACGTAATATGAGGAAGGAAAATATCCTTTCTGCATAAGAAAGGAGACTACTTTTTCTGAACATTCTAACCTTGCTCGGCCTAAATGAACCTCCTTCCTAGTAGGAAACATTTTTTTGAATATTACTTGAGAGAGAAAAAAAGGCTATACTTTTTCAAAACAATCTAACCCAACTCGGACTAAATAATCCTTCCTAAAAAGTATATTCTTCGATGAATTGCTCGAGGGAACAAGGAATACTACTTCTTCTAAACAATCTAGCCTAACTCAGCCTGAATCAACCTTTTCCATTTTTAGACCCTCATGAAGTAGCAAACTTTTTTTCTGAAGAAATTCATTCAATAATGCCCAGTAATCCAAGTCTATCGAAATTTTGCGATTATATCGTGGAAACTTATATCGATGAAGGAAGAAATTTTCCCCCAAGTATGTGGGTTTGTACTACAGATAGTATGTACAGGACCACAAACGCGTGTGAATCATTTCATTCTCATTTTAATTCTAGTTTTTATAGTTCTCACCCAAGTTCGTTTAATTTTGTAAATATTTTAATGAACTTTCAAGCAGAAACAAATATTAAAATAACATCCGTAAAATGTTCCTCCAAAAAACTAAAAGTGCAACACAGAAAAAAAAGATTTTATTAAAGCTAAGTTATCAGAATAAGGAAATGGCCTTTTATCACAAGAAGATTTTGTAAAAATTATGTCTGATCATAATTCACCTCAATAATAAATATTAATATATGTTAAGAAAATAGTGATTATTTTAATTCTTAGAATACAACCTTAATCCGCTCGAAGAGCGGTCGTGGTCCAACTGATCGGTGTACTTAAAACAGGTACCTGGCCCGTGGTCGAACTGTCCGACTCCCAAACCTTCAACTCAAACTTACCGTACTTACCAGGAAAAATCGACGGTCGTTTTGGTGACAGTGAATCTACCGTTTTTTCAGCAACCGAGTTCCGTAAATAACCTTTTTTTTTAGGAACCAACCGAACATTTCATATTCACGGAACGAAAAACTACTAACCGAAATAACCAAGTTGATTCACGGAACATACCAATACCATAGGATATGTTCCGTTAATCAACCAAGGTTACCGATGCTTTCAGGGCCAGTACCAACAATATTGACAGTGGTTATCTACTGGTGACTACGGTTGTGGATTATTTACGGAATGCCAATCATTTGTCAATTCATAGTTTTGATCGTTTTTTACACATTCATGCTCTGCCAGTATTTGATTTTCACTTATATTGCACCCAAAAATCGCTTGATCTTGTGCACAGTAAGAACGAGCAAAGGATGTAGTGTTCTAAAATAAAAAAAAGTCATCAAACTGAAAATAAATCGAATATTATTGAATTACCTCAGTAAACGAATCCATCGGAACTTGACGCAATAATCAAAATGGAGGAATAGTTTTTCCTGTGATTTGTAAATGAAAGAATCAAACTGAAAACTAAATCACATCAACGTCAACTCGAGCTTATCGAACTTACCAGAGAAAATCAACGGTCGTTCTGGTGACAGTGAATCTACCGCTTTTTCAGCAACCGATTTCCGTAAATATCCTTTTTTTCAGGAACCAACCGAACATTTCATATTTATGGAACGGAAAACTACTAACCGAAATAACCAAGTTGATTCACGGAACATACCAATACCATATTATGTTGTTATTATTGGTGGTTGACACTGATGACATTTGATAGAACGTCAATAACGTTGATAAAAACCGCTACATTCGAAATGGCCAATCAGAATTTTGTGTCGGAACTATAGCGAATGAGACTATTCACCTTCGCATCACCCAATCAAATTTTGAGTCTAAAAACGAACGCATATGCGTCTCAAAAATATATCTAAATGAAAAGGCATATTCGTCTGTTAATGATCGATTGTAATATAGGCAACCAAAACATACACCTATCGAAAATATTTTTCCACGTTAACGGGTTAGATTTTCAATGTTTCTGAACCGATTTTATTCCTATTTTTCTTACAAGGCATTTCGCCGAACAATTGTTCAAATTACAGGATCAGAAATCTAGTCGACGGAATGATTTATCTAACCAACTGGTAATACATAATAAGTTGGGTGAATATGTTTTTATGAATAACTGATTTTTAATTGTGATCCGATAGGTACGCAAGCATTAGTTAGAGCAGGTAGTAACCATAGTTCGATATCGACTGAAGAAGCCGATCCGAGCCCTACGGATCAAATAGTGGGAAGGGCAAGGGCTCTGGTAGATCAAACTCCTAGTCCATATGATACGGAAGCATTGAAATTTAAGGTAACTTTTGTACTAGGAACATTTTGTTATTATACTAGCGAGTCAATGGATGGTATTAGTACTATTAGTAGATAAGACTTCGGACATAGCTGAACTTCTGTCCTTTTTTATTCTCTATATTACAATGATTTGTGTGAATAAAATGATCAGACATATATATCTCTCTTTGTCTTTTCAATTTCCCTAGTAGCGCCTGATTGTCAGATATGATTTTAGAGGTTAGATTTTCTGTCATATCAATCATAGCCGTAGATAGAAAATAGAAATAGGGTGTAAACACCTACTTCAATTTATAGCGATACGGCATAATAAAAATGAAAAGAATGCATATGTAACAAGATTTTAATGACGAAATAGACACATAATATATACATACACATAGGTATGGCTAGTTCCATCGGTATTGAGAACGCCATTCAATGATATAAGTACGGCGTCGTTGTAATTCACTTGATTTTCTCAGTTTCGTTTTCAAATTTTCAATTTCATTACCTAGTTTTGCAGTCATTCCTCTTCCTCCATGATATTTCTTTTTTCATTTCGGAACACCAGATTCTCTCAAACGAATCTTAAAATCTTCTGTTTGAAAATTGGCCCAAAATATGGTCTCATTCTAATCTGCTGTTATAAAAAGTTAATTTTGAAATGAATGTACCTCACAAATCTTGCTTGTCTTCTTCATTTATACTTCTCAATAGTCTCTTATATTTCATTTCTTAAGTTCATGGTAGTCATTTTTAAATTCGATCAATTTTGATTTAAAAAGCGCGAAACGACTATGGTGCTCTTGTCACAATGCCAGATGTGTAACTCAATGAATCGTAACATTCACTAACGGTTGTCATTTCTGTGTCCGGACTCTTATCTCTAATACCACCCAAAGCGGTGCGCGAAGTACACACTTCGCGCATTATTGTAATGTAAACGATATGAGATTTATGTATTTAACCCTTATTGTCCTTAATCGAGCAAATATCCAAGAAATTATTCATTTCTGAATGATCAACAATATATTTTTATATCTCTTGGAGCGCACGAAAGGAAATTCCTGTAATGTTCGTGGAACATCATGCTTAGCCGGGGATGCCTTTTAAACCAGTTCCACAATATTTTCAATATTGAGCCAAGCATATTACTAATTTGAAACCATATAATTCTTGACGTTTGTGAAAAAAATGTTGTTTGCTCCTCGTGCGCGAAATACCTTGGTAATCTGGAATCAGTTCTCGATCACCAAAGTAGCATTTCTTGCACTAGGTAAAAGTATTATTTCAATTTTAATTTGCCCATTTGAATGATTCTGTAAGAATAATTTCAACTGACATAACTATTGAGAACATTAGCATACAAAAATCAACCTGCCACCTTCCGTATTCCTTTCTAGGCTGGTGATATAATAGACATAGTTTCGATGAACGCGAGCGGCCAATGGCGAGGCATCTGCCGAGGCCGAAAAGGCACCTTCAAGTTCATCAACGTGGAACTGCTGTCGGAACGCTCGGTGAAGTCGAAGAGGGACGTCAAATGGCACCGGAACATCTCGGGCCGACCCGCCTCTGTGGAGGACCTCCTCATGCGCATCGGTTTGCACGATTACATTTCGGTGTTCGTGTTGAACGGTTACGAGGATTTGGAGCTGTTCAAAGAGATCGAGCCGTCCGATCTGGACTATTTGGGGATTGTGAATGCGGAGCATCGGTCGAAGTTGTTGGCTGCCGTGCAGTTCCTGCACGATCTAGACTGTGAGTTGACATGTTTTTTTCTTTTTTTTTTTTTGGTTCCAGAGTGTCGTTTTACTCGCCGAGAAATTTACCCTAGCTGTACCTGACGTCGATGCAACTTCAGCGTGTAACGTTGTTTTTTACTTGAACTGACTGTCGTAACCGCCAACATTATGGATGAAACCTATTGGAGTTTTCCTAGTATGGAAATGCTCAGAATGCAGCGGATTCCTTGATTTCTCTTTTTTGATTGTTATCTTCCTTTCCTATGATTTTGATATCATTCTTCTAAACGGAGACAATAGCATTGCTTCCTGTTCAGTTGATATAGATCGAACATGGTATTCACTACTGAAAAGTGAACATGAAAATGGTACATTCAAGATCAATTAATGAAAACATCCAGTAACTCATTTGTAGACTGAAATCACTCATTCATATACCAACATCAGTATGACACTGAAATCTGTCAAACTATAAGCAGCATAACTTTCAAAGAGAAATATTTTGCATTTACATGTTGAGAACGGGAGCAGATTCGGTCCCAAAACGTCCAAAGATAAGTTAAGATTCGATATTTTTTCAATTCATCTATATTTCTTTCCTTCTTTTCAAACAAATTGTCATTGACAAGCTACTGGATTTTTCTTTTAGGCTCCATGATAAAAAAATTTGTTAAATGCAGTGACATTAAAAATATACTGAAATAATACGCATATTTTTATTTTATAGAAACGAGGAGAAAATCCCAAAAAATCAAGTGAAATGAATGTACCACCTCCTCGATTAACCTACAGACAGTACCCTTTATTACAGTTGTTTTTTCTTGTCGAACCATGTTCAAGGTCAGTTTTGAACCGTTTTCAAGCGTGACGTAGTAATTTATCTCATTCAAGAAAACCGACTGAAATGGAAGCTGCCTTAAGTCAGATTACATAACACTTGATCTGAAAACCGAAATCAATAATTAAATTTTGAAATTGATGATTTCTGTGTGAACTTGAGAAGTGTAAAAGAATGGAATCACTAATAGTGGAATTTTTAATTCATAATCAGCAGATGAGGCAAGGGGTTTGTCGTTCACAAATGCTGAACCAGTCCAGAGAAATAGATAATGATCTAGAAATGATTATTCATCTCGAAATTTTCCAGCATCTCAAAGTGGAAAGTTATGCACCATACCCTCATTACACTTCATTTTTTAAGCTATAGACAATTTGTTAAAAATAATATTTATAACCTCAAACGTTCAAACTATCAAACTCTGGCGTTTTTCCACTCCTCCACTGGTTTTCCGTGTTCGAACCGTTCATTTAGAAGTTTTTGAACCGGAATAAACCGTATTACTTGGTGACGTCATAACTTGCACAAGAAAATGTTTGATTTCTAATCGTTTTGAACACGATTCAACAAGAAAAAACAACTTATCTTTTTAAAAACAATTGAAATACGGACTGTTCCATTTGTTGTAGCGGGCAGCGAGGGCGACATTGCCGGCTCGATGAGCAGCGGCGACGAGCAACACCGCACCACCATCTGCGGCAACAACGTCATCCACACCTCGCGCGAAACGATCGGCTCGCCGTTCGGCATTCGTCGGCAGTTTCCGCGCGACTCGGGCTGCTACGATGCGCCCCCCTCGAAAGGTGGCGGCAACAATCGACAGAACAACCATCGGCTGACGTCACCGACGCAGGGGGAGTCGGATACTAGCGATAGTGCAGGGTTTAGCGAGACGACGAGAAATAATTTGGATTCGGTGGTGGAGCAGTGTAACAACGAGATTTTGGCCAGGGTGCGTTGCATCAACTCTAGTATTCGTTCTTATAATAATAATAATAATGTTTTTTCTGTGACAGGAAAAAAGTTCAGCATTTCATCTCTGTTGGCAGGTTATAAAATGTCACTTTTCATAAATTACTTTTTTCCCGTGGGAAAATATATATACACTGTTGATGGCTTTTAGTCCTTTTATCTTCCATTCGACTTCCCGGTTACGTATATTACAACCACTAAATTCGCGCAATTTCAAAATAATGTAATATCTTCTCAATATTGATTCGTCTTTTCTTCTGTCACAAAAAAAATAGTGTATTATACACGGTAAAAATATTAGATTTTAGCTCCGTGAATGAACTTTTTTTGACCAAGTGTAGAATTAGCAGCATCAAGATGAAACAAGTCATATTGTCTAGTATGATGTTCATGGATTTGAGAATTCCTTACCAATATGAAGTATTTGAGGTGTTCGTTGATAATATCAAAAGAAATTTTGGGATTATCTCTCAGATAGTGCTCTTCCAAAGAAAATGTATTTCTTTCTTCATAAAGTTGATTCGATGGGGTGTCATATGAAAGACGATACAGTACTTTGAATGCTTTTTTATATAGTACAGATATTTAATTAGTTAAAATTATTCTTGGAACATGAACCCCAAATATTTATGAGATAGTTCATTTTACTAAGGATGTGAGAGTATTGAACGGTATTTGCTATATTTGGGATACGTTTTGGACATCTTCTTAAGGCACCAACTATGGGGGAATTTTTTTCTTTGAGCATGCCAATATGCTTGTCCCATGTTATTTTTTCATCAATCCAACTACCAAAGTATTTGGTATAGGCAGTTTGTACCAGAAGAACATTCCTAGGATGCCTCTTATTGTAGAAAGCGGATGTCCCTGGGACGTTCCTAGAATGTACTATGTTTCAACACAGGATTTCTCAGGGATGTCCTCGAAGAAATTGAAAGGTGTCCCTGCCCTGGGACGTACAAGGAACGTAATTGTGTTGTTAGGGAGATTCGTTTTCCATGAGTGTGTCCCACTCATATTGAACATGTTGAAAAATCCCAAACGGCTACCGATATATAACACCCTGTACAATAGTGTACCTAGGCCGATTCTTGAACTGTTCGTCTATGTTCAGTCCATGAAAAGTAAACGAAAACGCAAACAGACTAAAAACGCAAATATTCTAATTGCAATCACAATCAATCACATACGGGCTGACACCGCTTCAAAAATTTGAAATTTGTAGCCATATTGGATAACAAGTTTCGTATTATTTTTTCCCCTTCGTCGGCTTCAACGCCTATTGCTCGATTTCGTTACCTATACAATGAGACAGAAGTTGGTCCCGCTTCGAGGACAGCTATGCTTTATACAGGGTGTTCCTTGAAGACATGCTAATATTTTCAAGATAAAAACTCATTATGAACGTATGTCTCAACTTTTGAGATACAGGGCGATAGAGTTTTGAAAAAAAAAAAAAAACAGTTTTTTAATAATAACTGAGATATTATTGTAGACATCTTTACCAAATTTGGTACATGTCTTCTATGCATCGAGGTGCATTTGCATTTTCTCTACCAGTGGCGCCGTTTGGGGGATAATATTGTTTATATTTCACTTGAAAGTGAGCAACGAAGGAAATATGTCCAAATTTTATACAATCCTATGAAAGGCCATTCAATTCTGTTCAAAAAAGATCCTCTTGTTGATACTCGATAGAACGCTCCGTTTTCGAGTAAAAAACAGAAAAAGGAGACCAGACTTCAAATTTTGATATAAATGCTAAGCGGAGTACTCCATTCATCATCACTTACTAGATAACCACATAATATAACATTTTGAAATTTTTTCACCGTTTCAGTCACTAAGCAGACTGAATTTTTTCATCGCGAAAACCTATACAGGGTGGACAAAAAAATAATTTATGCATATTTTCAACTTTGATACCCTGTATCTCAAAAGTTAGGACATTTACGACATACGTTCATATGAAGTTTTATTCTTAAAATGGGTCCAAGAATCGTCCCCTTGAATATAAGCATGTCATTAAGGAACACCCTGTATATAGAGTAGTAGATTCATGACTGCACCAAACACACCAGAGTGTAGTTCCGAAACGCACCCCTGTTCTTGGGTGGGGAAAATAGGACTTTTCCTTTAAAAGTGACTCGGAACCCTCCTAGGTATACTACTAAACAAAAATGTCGAAAACGTTTATTTCCCAATGGTAATCAGCACGATCCGCCTTGTTCTAGGTGAAACAGGCCCAAATCAACTCGATCAACCTGAAAGAGGAGCTCTGCTCGTACCAACCCAACATCCCTACCGGCTGTCCCCCGCAAGGCCCTATCGCATCCATCGAGATGCAGACTCTGCAGCCGCAGCAGCAGCAGAAGCCGAAAGATTCCTATGTAAGTGTGCACGGGCAAACGTCATTGGTGGATCCGTGTCGAAGGCCGCCAATGGCCGCGGCGGCTTCTCGCAGAAAGTTAGAGGACTGTCCGATGCCGGCGTCGTTCGCGGATCCTCCGGAGTCAAGGCTGGGGCTGCCGGACAAATATTCGAGTAAGAGACGAATCGGGATATGGAGGGGGGGAAATGTACAGGGTGTTTGGTTTTCGGGTGTCACTATTTTGAGAATCAATGGGTGCAATCCATTTTACAAAGATCACAGGAACAGTAATGGTTGGACGGTGAATGAAGGATATAGGTTCCTCAATGTCATTAGGTCATCGACGATTGATGTGTCTTAATGATGATATATGGCAACTTCCACATTGACTCTGTTAGTACTATGACTGATGATGACCATTTGAATGGTCGAAACATGTCTCAATGAGGCGTAATGAAGCAGAATTGACTGCACACTTCAGCAGTAAACTTGTGGAGACGACTGAGTTTTTTTTCTCTCTCTTTAAATTGATTGTGTTGTTTTTATTATCCATACTAATATCATAGAGGAAAGATTAGATTGTTTGTTTGTTTATTTGTATGTATTGAATAGGCTCCGAAGCTACTGGTTCGATTTGGCTGAAAATTGGTGAGGAGGTAGCTTAGAAGGAGGTTTCAGGATACTTTTATCCCGGTCCCATTAGGAAATTCAAGATGGCGGATCTAATATATTGGACGAGTTTTGTAATTATGATCCAATTCTATTCAAAATTGGTATCTGGGGGTTCTCGGGATCGGAGATTATGATTCTTTCGTCAGAATTTGAAAATTCGGTCGGAATTTGTAAATTCAAGATGGCGGAACTAATATGGCAGACGAGTTTTGTAATTATAATCCGATTCTTTTCAAAATTGGTACCTCTAAGGGGTTTTCGTGATCGGGGATTAGATTCCTTCATCAAAATCAAGAAATTCAAGATGGCGGATTTTGTAATTAGGATCCGGTTTTATTCAAATTTGATATCTGGTGGGTTCTCGGGGTCGGAGATAATGATTCTTTCGTCAAAATTAGGAAATTCAAGATGGTGGACCCAATATGGCGGACGAGTATTGTAACGATAATCCGACTCTTCAAAATTGTTATCTGGGTGTTTTCGGGGTCAGAGATTATGATTCTTTTGTCAAAATTTGGAAAGGGAGGGATTTGGAAATTCAAGACGGTGGAACCAATATACCGGACGAGTTTTGTAATTATATACCGATTCTATTCAAAATTCGTAAGTGGACGTTTTCGGGATCAAAAATTATGATTCCTTCGTCAAAATTAGGAAATTCAAGATGATAGATCCAATATTGCTGACGAGTTTTGTAATTGTGTTCCGATTTTATTCAAAATTTTCATCTGGGGTTTTAGGTGTCGTATATTATGATTCTTTCGTCAAAATTGGGAAATTCAAGGGCACTAAAAAGAAGTTGGAATAAATGGTAGTTTGAAAAACTAAAGAAACACGCTTTTATAGATAGCGAAACTAAAAGGAAGCAGAAAATAAAATAATAATGGTGCCTCGATGAATATTGTCCTGAAAAAATATATTATAGAAATACTGTATACAGCAAATCAACGTTCGCGAGGTCTGCTAGTCCATGATACAAATAGAAGGAACATTCATTCATGGGCAAGCAACATTACAAACTATACAAGATGCCCAACAATTTTCAAGCCAACAAATATTTAAATCGTCTCGCACAAGAAAAATCCTGTACAAATACCGAATAAAAATTGGATATCAACGTTATCCGATTACTGATTTATTTCTGTTCCAGCTGGTGCCGGCATCGAATCGATCGCCATCGACAACTCCTCTAACGCGATGAGGAGTTGCCTCAGCGAAAAGTCGAGCGACTCCGGAGTGAGCAGCAGCTCTCTGTCCTCCGCCAACGCCAAAGAAACGCGCCCTCTGGTGCAGTCCTTCGCCATTGATCATCGTCCCTTCGCCGGATTCAAGAAGAAGAGCCCCAAAACCTAACTACAAACTATTTTCGCGAGTGATGACTGAACGGCGGGAGCGAATTTTTGACGAAACTTATTCATTCACGAAGCATTTTTATAGAAACTATTGTTTTTGAGGGGGGAAATCCATGAAATGCATTGAAAGCTGCCCCCACACATGCTCGAATAGCAAACGATTTCGGACAAAATTTGCTTCCCTGTCGATGTAAGACTACTACGTACTTCCATTATCTGATTTAATAATCAGCTGTAGCTAAAGTCTTTATGCTTCTGGTGGGTAATGTAGAATCCAAAATTCTCAATCAAAACGAATACCAATCAAATTGAATGTATTATTTCTTAGGAATTCTCAACTGCTCCGTATTTTTGTGTTTCATTTGGCACAGCGTTTATTGAATAGTGCCAATTCCATTAACACAACTGCCAATAATAATTGTAATAGGCTCAATTTTTTACAAAAACGATGACGAACACATTCCATTTCTATAATAATATTATTATTTATTCGTTCATTTGGTTTCTCTGATACGATAAAGCGCTCATTCCAAACGGCGTTTCGTATCAGTAAATTCTGCAGTGGATGATTCTCGTTTACATAACCTTATATTGTATTCTTCCATTTTTATTATAAACTACTTTTCTATGATTATTTATCAACTATCGTCTGAGATATATCTAAAATATGGACTGGAACTAAAATAATAATAATAAAAGCAATTTTTCTAAAGGTAAAACTTAATTAGAATGAATGTTAATAAACGTGATAGCGAAATAATTTGAATTTTTATTTCGCAATTAGGATATTATAAGCGTGTATATAAAAGTTCACTGTATATTCTGTATATATTTCTTCGATGATAAATGCAACTAGTCTTTTTTATTTTGTATATAGATAAAGCTTCTACTTATAGTTGCAGTTTTTCATTTTGACTGGATCATATGTGTATTTCGTCATACGCATATCATACATGTAATTACTTGTAATTAGAAAGTGTTATATATGTCGGTAATAAAATAGAAAATTTATTAAGATATGATGTTTCGCTTTCCCACACCTTCCCTCGTTACTTCAACAGGAAATCTAGAAAAAGAACTAGAAACTTTCATACGTTCCTGCGATTTCCAGGATTCTTCGATCCTCCGACAGATGTCTCCACTTACATCCTTCCCACACTCGACGCCCAGACAGACTATAAAAGCGGACAACAAATCTGCTATTTTCGAGGTTCTTCGATCCGTCGATAGATGTCGACACTTACATTTTTCCGATATTCGGTGCTCCACAGACTATATAAACATATCTATTCTATCTACAGGGTGGGCCACCAGTAACGCCTCGGTCTCTAGAAGGCTAACCACTCATCTTCTTGGAATTCTTCCTCTCTAGGAAGTTGCATGTCAACATAGGCTATCATTTAAAATTATTTCGAAAAATACAGGGTGTCCCCAAAAACCATAAAACACTGAAGTTGAACTTTTTTCTATCGAACACCCTATATATTATTTCATTTTGAGATTCTCCCTGAGCTGATTTCAACGACCCATCATACTTGGGGTCTAGCAGTTATAATTACTGAAATATAGGGTGTGAAAAATCGAGATTTTCCAAGTTCAAGAATTTTTTGTGTCGAAACTATTCATAATTGGTCAAAACGGCTTACATGTCCCTATCTCAACTTTTGATTGACTATCTACTGATATTTAATTGAGACATATACCGGGTGATCAAGATTCTGAATTCTGCACCACCCTGTATTTGTTTCAATTAAATGTCAGTAGATAGTTGATCAAAAGTTGAGATAGGGACATGTGAGCCGTTTTGACCAATTATGAATGGTTTAGACACAAAAAATTCTTGAACTTGGAAAATCTCGATTTCTCACACCCTATATCTCAGTAATTATAACTGCTAGACCCCAAGTATGATGGATTGTTGAAATCAGCTCACCAGGGAGAATCTCAAAATGAAATAATATATAGGGTGTTCGATAGAAAAAAGTTCAACTTCAGTGTTTAGTGATTTTTGGGGACATCCTGTATGTTTCAAAATAATTTCAAATGGTAGCCTATGTTGACATGCAACTTCCTAGAGAGGAAGAATTCCAAGAAGATAAGTGGTTAGCCTTCTAGAGACCGAGGCGTTACTGGTGGCCCACCCTGTATAACGCGTCTGATTGGGGTCACTATCGTCTCTTATTTCGACGAATAACTAGAGATATTTGGATCCGTCTTCGTTCTTTCAGGTGATTTATGGAATAAAAATTCAAAAATATTTCGAGTTCCAGAAAAATCCGATAGATGGCGCTACTAACATCTTATCGAAGTCGATCGAGAAAAATGTAGTTCCAAAAAAAAGCCGATAGATGGTGCCACAAACACTTTGTCGACGACGAGCGTTCGATAAACTATATATAACAGTGGAAACCTTCTGAAGGCGGCCGGCCTGGGGGAATGGTATGGCTAGCAAGAATATTTCTTAATTTCACACCAAAATATCAGAACTAAAATGAAGATTCTTGTTCGTGCTATCGACGACAGCCGTTTATATAGTGTAAATTGATGGAACCACATTTTTCAAGCCAGAATATAATTCCAGAACGATCGGATATATGGCGTTATTAACTTCTTGTCGACGACGACGACGTTATCAGAAGGTTATTCGTGTTTATAAGACTTAGAAGGTGATATGAGGAAGGAAAATATCTCTTCTGCATGAAAAAGGAAAGTATTTTCAACCTAACTTTTCCTAAATCAACCTTTTTCCTAAATAGTATATTATGTTACAAGTGTTATAAACGTCCTTTTAGCAACGAGTATTTTAAGCACGAGCGGAGCAGAGCGGAGCGAGTGTTTAATAAACGAGTGTCTAGAAGTTTATAAACGCGTTACATACTATGCTTTGTCTACGAACTCCAAAAATTACATTAACATACCTGCTACTCCTGCGAACCTACAAAATAATTCGAAAGGAATGGGAATTCAGAACATAATACATGCAACTGCATGCAACCAGCGAGACACGTATAAGTGATATTGGTTGTAGATGTGTCCAGTCCATTGCTTACCAACCTTTGTTTCACGTTTATTGTCATGCTTAGCGCAGAATGAATAAATTGTTCTCAAAGATGGATGCTTCATTTTTACACTTCTTGGAGATATGCAAGTACCAAAACATCATCTTCGATTTCACTTTCGTCTACATTTCGCACATATTTTTAATGACGAATTCTGATACAAACAAATATTGTTTGAATAATTCTGATACAAAATTTGAAAATGACAATTGACAGTTAATACAATTGACAGACCAGACATGTCCCAAATCACTGAAGCTCCGTGTTTAATGAACTGTGTTGCCATGGTAATGTGTTTAAGAAATCGTGTTGCCATGGTAACGTGTTTAATATTTTGAATAAATCACAGATCGACAATCCGTGATTAATCGATCATTTAGCGTGGTACATATCCGTACGCTAAATGCCATTTTAGTTATGTGAGTAGAAAAAAGTATATTTTTGAAGAATAAATTGAGTGATAAAAAATTACAAAAAAAATTGACGCCTCGCAGGGATTGAACCTCAGTCACTACATTGGAAGTCAGAAACATAGACCACAAAGCTATCGCTTTACTCGTAGTAGTCCTAGTTTCTCAATATAAAGAAGGAAAAAATATCAAGTGTTGTGGGTGACGTCACTTGACCTCGATGTTTGAATTTTGAAAATTCGCTGGTCTAGCTAGACGCTTGTCAGCAGTGGCAGCTGATATTGGTATCCCAGATGACGTCACATAATATACACATACGTACATAACCTCCTTTCAATATGGATACCACAAGAGGAATGGTCGCCTATATAAACCCTATTAACCGTCGAGTGTCTAGAAGAAGTAAGTGGCGCTACCTATCGGGGTCTTCGGGAAACTTTGGAAAATGTTCATTCCCATTGATTTATTTGTTTGGAAAATCGATATTGATGACTACTAAAATCTCCCAACTCATGAATTTCGACAGAAATTCTCAAAATAGGTAATTTTGAGAAATTTTACCAAGAATATAAGAAAACTAACAGGTGCATGAAATCTTCATCATAAATAGTTTTATTTACATTCCAACTGAAATTCGAATAAAAATTATAAAAAATATACAATTTAAATAGGTATCAGTAATTTTCAATATGAAAATTAGTTTACTAACCAGTTGAATATTAAAAGCTAGTTTTTTTAGATTCCTAACTAACGTTACTATAAATTCCTAGAAATAAAAAATATATCAAAAACGTTTTATTTACACATTATTCACAAGACATATCGAAAATACTTTTATGCTAAATTGAAAGTAACAATGAAGTATCAATATGATGAGATAAAACTATCAATGTAAAGCAGTCGAATACAAAAACTAAACAGAAATATACAAGCTGAGCCAACCATTTCGAAATTCCAAAATACCAACTAGGTATTTCAAAGCCACCTATCCATAATTCATTCAATTCTCTAAAAAAAATAATTCTTCGAAAAAAGCTCCAATAGAGTACAGGGTGGGCAAAATTGGGCGTTTTTCACGGGCTATCTCAAAAACTAAAGGAGTTATTGAAAAATCGATATACATGTCACGGGTTCAATTTTGAAGAAACCTGAAATGGGGCATTCGGTACTTTTACATCCTCATTCGTGTCAGAGATACAGGGAGAAATCGAAAACTAGTCGATTTCGTTTTTATTTTCTGAGTGCTTTATGGTGAGGAATATTGAAAATTTTCGATAGTTTATTCTTATAGTATGATGCGAACAATCCATTGGCATCATTAGAAATTTTATACAGGGTTAAATTAAAAACATACGGCAGCCAATTATATTTCTTCTTATGGAACACCCCGTAAATTTTGGCACAGTTAAATAGTCAGGGGCGTTCCAATATGTATGTATGAATAAACTTTCGAAAGTTTTCAATATTTCCCACCATAAAGTACTCAGAAAATAAAAACGAAATCGGCAATTTTTCAATTTCCCTCTGTATCTCTGAAACGAATGACGATGTCAAAATTCCGAATGCGCCATTTTAGGTTTCTCTAAAATCGAACCCGTAACATGTATATCGGTTTTTCGATAACTCCTTCAGTTATTGAGGTAGCCCGTGAAAACACCCGATTTTGCCCACCCTGTACCTACTGAAACCCCCTTCCTAGTTGCTCTTACCTCAATCTCTAGGACTCATCCCTTCTACTCAACGTCCGACCGCTTTTAGGGCTCGCCAAAGTGATTAAGGGCACCCTTCTGGGCACTTTAGGCTGCCCCACTTTATCCTCCGCCCTTTTCACTACAGCCGATCCGCTTTTTTCACCCTTTTTCTCATCCTGCGTGTCTTCCAGTTGCAGGCAAAAATCCTCCGTACAATCTTCTTCGGCCCTAGTGACACTCTGTACGTCGTTTTTCTTTTCCGAGCAACTTTCCCTGTTGGTCCAACCATCTCTAGCCTCGTCTTCGTCCAAGGCCAGATCGATTTTCGACACGGACGGGCTCTTTTTCGTCAAAAAGTTCAGCAAAGGGTTACTTTTCGGCGTCCCCTTGCTTTTCCTTCCTACCAACGAGCTGACTTTCACCTTGGTCGGGGTATCTTTCCTTTTTTTCGCTGGAGGCTTTTTCGACTTCGGAGTGCCAACATTTTCGATGGTGACGACTTTTTCCATCACATCCACTTCTTGCGGTCCATTTACCACCACCACCCCTGATGTTTTTCTTTTCAACAACGCGCATTGCGTCTTCCTGTGTTCCTCTTCGCTAATCTTCACGAACAATGTCTTGTTTTTGGTAGGATCAACAGGTTTTGATATTGAATCAACAGGTTTCGATATTGAATCAACAGGTTTTGATATTAAGTCAACAGGTTTTGATATTGAATCAACAGGTGTTGCTGTTGGATCAACAGGTGTTGCTGTTGGATCAACAGGTGTTGTTGTTGGTTCAACAGATTTCGGTATTGGATCGACAGATAGTGCTATTGAATCAACAGGTGTTGCTGTCGGATCAACAGGTTTCTGTTTTGAATCAACAGGTGTTGCTGACGGATCAACAGGTTTCATGATTGAATCAAGAGGTTTCAGGTCCTCTTGTTTTCGTGGATGTCTTCGTACGGCTATAGGCTTGGCCGCGACATCTGAAGTTAGTGTCTGTAATGCAATAATTTGAATTATTTTCAATGATGTCTATGGTTTCCTTGTGCAAGATGTAGAATATTCAGTGTATGTGAAACGATGAAGAAAACACGTGTCAGAATGACAATGCATTGCGAGATTGTCGAATTTTGAGAGGAAACTGTGGATTTTACGGCCAAATATTATATGCCCTGTACATCATGTAGAGTAGGCCTGGGTGAAAAAAATAGATATATCGATAAATACATCGATATATCAAGTATCAATATACAGTGTGTCTCATTTCGAACGGTCCCCCCTCTATATCTCAGCTATCAGTCGTGCGATCTTTACCAAATTTGTATCGATATGAATAATCATCAATATGACCAGTTCTTCAAAGACAAACATCATTTTAGACAGTGCCGTGCAGTTTTATTGAAATGAATAGGGGTCAGTTTTTTATTAAATCAAATTAGGCATTTTTTCACAGGAAAACTGGCCACATAATATTGTTCTTCATGGTTTCAAACCCACATATGTGGATTTTCATTAGATGCCTATGAAGGGTTTCAGAAAAACAGGTACATCTAAACAGCATTTTTGCGAAAATAATTATTTACTCGGAAACGTGTTCATCATAAAGAAGTATAACTCGTTTTTCCTTGCAAATCATGATTTTCTACCTACCGGAGAAGAGACCGGAGCCATTGAACGTTCCAAAATTCGTGGTTGATTTGAAGTCACTATTCATAATTTCGACTGTAAACTGTAGTTTTAGCTTTTGTACATTATTTTTTATTTTTCTTGTTTGTTTAAAGTATATGACAATGCCGTCTGGCTTTATATAATTCAATTAGTTCAACAATGACAAATGACATATGTACTAAAAAAAGAAAAGTAATGTAGTATTTAGAGGAAGGACCTACATGAAAATGTAAAAGATTTTATTTCTGACAGTGACATTATAAGCTTATATCGTCATAGTTACGATATCTATAATGAGGGTCATAACTCCCTTGGGATGTTATAGATGCTATAATTCCCTCTAGCTAAAATTAAATAAGAAATGCATAGCAACAACCACGCAATAACGTAGCAATAAGGAATCTCCTATTCGCGGTAGTCAAGATCATCATCTGACGTTCTGATGACATTGAAACTATACGGAAAAACATGTCTAACTTCCAATCGGGAAGGTATCTAATGAATGAAATCAGTCAGAAATAAAATTATCTATTTATCACGGGAATTACTGAGCCTCAATAACCTCTGGCAAACTTTGCCATCGGTAATTAAGGCCCTCATAATTCCCTTAATACATAAATAACTATTTATTGGTTCAATAAAGATCTCTCTCTCTTCATTCGAGACTGAAAAAGAAAAAAATGAAGCCAATCCTGTTAATTCGGAATTAGGTGATTTTTTGCATATGGAGGTTCGAAAGCATGAGGAAGAGGTTAGATTTCCTGTGAAAAAATGCCTAATATGATTTTATGAAAAATCGACTCCTTTTTAGTTCAATAAAAACGCACGGCACTGTCCAAAATAATGTGCATCTCTGTAAAACTGATCATATTGATGGTTATTCATACCACATCAAATTTGGTTGGAATCGTATGACTAGTAACTGAGATATAGAGGAGGGGCGTTCAAAGTGAGACACGCTGTATAATTTCATCGATATATCGATAAATAAGGATTATCGAAGTTTTACTTTATTTGTTTTTCTGACTGCCCTGGATTTAATTTACTCAGTTTTCACTGCATACCAGCACTGTATTCAAGTATTCATCAAATTAATATTCATCAGGTATTGAAAAGGAATACTCTCAGATATATTTATGAACACAAAAAAATGGATATACAGTATGATGCAAATGTATGGAATAAATTCATTTCAAAATAAGACGACTTCCGAAAAAAAAATCCAAAAACTAGAGTTCAGAACTTTTTTTATTGTGTATTTTTTCAACTAGACGACCCTTCGATGTTCAATTCTCAGTAGCAGACCTCTGCAAGATTCCGTTAACCAAATCCAAATGATAATCCATTTTAATTGCAATATTCTTATGCAAAATTTTGACTCTTGGATAGACGATCAGTAGACGTTTCAAACGAGGTGTCACATGACCCCTGCTTGTATTTGAAAAAATCGTCCATTACGTCATTACTTCTACACCAGTGACGTAACATCTTTCATATGAATGTCATGAGATGAGGCTTCAAAAATTAAAACTCACGTGTTTTTGGAATTTCTTCAAATGTCGCCCATTTCTGAAATAATGAATTCATTCCATACATTTGCATCATACTGTATATATGAAGTAATACATTGAGAATTCGCATTCTCATGTGACGAAAATAATAATTCTTTCTCGGTTTATTCAACAGAAAACAACATTTTTCTGGCTATATGCCACGACGAATATTGAACTACATCTTTCGAACACACACGATAAGAATTTGAAAACAAAACCTTCTGAAGTAGAGAATTCGCATTCTCCTTCATATAAAGATATGCATATAATATCATTCTGAACATTCAACAGAAAACAACTACTTTCCTGGCTATTTGCCACGTCGAACATTGACTAATATCTGTTGACTATCCAAAAAGAGAGCATGAAAAATCAAAATCCTCTGAAATTGAGAATTGACATTATGTCTCAAATCGAATAGAATAATATGATGTATTATGATATAAAAATATACCTCACCGATATGTTCAGTATTGAAATGAAATGTATAGGAGAAGTATAGTATGAACTCTGATCTTGATGAGCTTGGAACTGCAGAAAAAAAAATCATTAAGAAACACCCTGTATATTGGACATTAGTCATTTATATGAAAAACTACACCCCCTAAGGAGGAAAAAATTTCTGGAACTTTGTTTAGTTACTAAGGTAACCGAGATGGTAACGATACGCAATACAGACTTTTTTAATTGATCGAAAATGTGATTTGTGAAATTTTCAATGATAATTCAGAGAAATGAGATGAGACAAAAAAAGCTAAATTTCATAAGGAATTAGAAAGTTGATCAAAAGTTCGCAATATTTGAGTTGAGATGATCGTCTCAAATTACCCCGTATACCAGTAGTGTATTCCATTTTCATCCTATCTCCCTGTATACGTACTTTAAATATCATCATAATTATCATTATTAGTCATAGATGAATACTTGTTCGGGAATTGATAGGATAGAAAGGTGACGCAACTAATTTGTCATTCGGGACCAGGTGGTGAATCGTGTCAGTCTTGTGTTAGATGTCATCGTGTACGGTCGGTCTTCTTAAAGTGCTCGTATCAGTTTCAAGCAAGAATCTAGTGCATATCGCGAAATAGTATACAGGGTTTCTCACAATTAACTTCAATTAGACAGCGAAATCTTTGATTTCTTCGGCTTGTAGCCATCTGATTTTCTCTCAAGTAATGCTCATCTATTAGACAAAAGAACTGTTTTAATTCTACAACTGTGTTTATTAAAAAGAGTGATAATACTGTCTTCTGAATACATTGTTCGGAATAGTGAATACATCGCGTTATTCTGTGTTGTGTCGGTGTGAAGTGTTTTGAGAATTCATATGTGGACTATATGCAGATTTTATACTGGTGAGTTTTTCAATCTTTCCTAACACGTGATAGGCACTTACTTCACTTACTTACTCACTCCAAGGAACAAAAATTAATTTAGCAATCCATAATGAGAATTCTAGTCTTCTCACAAGACCGAATAAGTACAGAGTGATTCACCATAAATGTCCCCCCATCTAGCTCACTTATTTTTGAAACGATTTGAAAATTTGAACAATAATCTGAACTGATTATTCAGAATTAATTTCCCGTTGCATCAGAAAATGCAGGGTGCTCGGAACAAATGATCTACAGAGTACTACTTGATTTTTTTTCAAATGAAACACCCTATATTTCATTGTATTTTTATATTCTTCCTGAAGAGCTGATTTAATCAATGCATCACACTTGGGGTCTAGCGGGAATGATTACAGAGATATAGGGTGTTCAAAATCGAGATTTTTCAAGTTTAGGATATTTTTGTGTCGAAACTATTCATTATTGGTCAAAACGGCGTATATGTTTCCATCTTGACTTTAGATTTACTGTCTACTGACATTTAATTGGAACATTTACAGGGTGGTTCAAGATTCAGAATTCTGATTACCCTGTATCTGTTCCACCAATTATTAAATGTCAGTAGAAAGTAAATCAAAAGTTAAGATACGGACATGGAATCCGTTTTGACCGATAATGAACAGTTTCGTCTCAAAAAAATCCTAAAGTTGAAAAATTTCGTTTTTGAACACATTATATCTCTCTAATCATTCCTGCTAGACCCCAAGAGTGATACAATGATCAAATCAGCTCTTCAGGGAGAATCTAAAAATACAATGAAAAATAGGGTGTTCCATATAAAAAAATTAAATAGTACCCTGTGGATCGTTTGTTCCGAGCACCCTGTATTTTCTGAAGTAGCGGAAAAAAACTTTATCGAAAATCATTCAATATGATATTTCAAATTTCGAAATCGGTTCAAGAATGACTGAGCTAGAGGGAGGAGACATTTATGGTGCATCACCCTGTACCTACGAATTCTACAATGCTTTCGTGAAGTGCTGAATGAATTCATTTTTAGCCCAATTATACATTCCTGAGAAATCTTCCAGTGTAATTTCATGCTCCTTCCCCTCAGGGAAAAAAAAAATTCTGGAAATTTGTTTAGTTACTATGGTAACGATGCGGAATACAGACTTTTTTGATTGATCGGAAATGTGATTTGTGAAATTTGAACAATAATCTGAAATGATTTTTCAGAATTTTTTTCCCGTTGCATCAGAAAATACAGTGTGCTCGGAACAAATGATCTACAGAGTACCTACTGCTTAATTTTTTCGAATGAAACACCCTGTATTTCATTGTATTTTTAGATTCTTCCTGAAGAGCTGATTTAATCAATGCATCACACTTGGGGTCTAGCGGGAATGATGACAGAGATATAGGGTGTTCAAAATCGAGA